CCCAGGCCAGCCGAGCCAGAAAGGCGTCGCCGAAGGGGGCGAGGGCCTGGCGGGGCGCAGGCCGCCTCCCGGCTCGGCCCCCCAGGAGCGAGGAGCGCCCCCTTCCAGCACCGGCCCCCCCAGCCAGCGCCGGTGAAAACAAACAGCCGACTGAAGGCACGCCGTGCTCAGCGCAAGCTGTAGCGACACTCAAAGGCTGTTTCAGAGCAGCACAAGTTATATAATGGCTTCTCTTGAAAAGAAAGATGCCAAAGTTTGGCGAGCCGGGGCAAGCGTTGCTCACAGCGGCCACTCTGTTACCAGCCACCTTCTAGCCCTGCTTTTTAAATACTTTGACCTCTTGAGCTATTTGGCCTTCTCTCAGTTTAGGTAACTCGTCAGCAACCCGGCAATTCAACAAGCGTCAGGACTGCTCTCCGGCAGCTTTTTGTTTGATTTTAAAAGATACTAGCCCTCTGGGGCCAGCTTCAGCTACCGGCTGACAAGCAGAGGGTTTACACGTATCCATGGCCAAAAGCCACCACTGACACAGGCTCATGGCTGTCTTTTGCTGCCTCTGTCCCCTTCCAAGAAAGCAGAAAATCCCAAGCATCTCCCGCATTGCCCTCTTCAGCTGACAGGCACAACTGCATCGTCCCAGCACGTGGGGAGCCGAGAAACCTCTGGAAAGGAGGGGGAGAAAGAGAAAAGGGCTGTCGTCGTCACCCAGTCCACCCAAAACTATCCTAAGGTGGCATCATCCAGGCAAGTAGTCTCCCTGCAGACTGGTTTGGGCCATAAGCACGTAACAAAAAAACAGATTTTCCGATAGCTCCATCTTCTAGAGCTAGAGCACCATTTTTCTCAGCACCTTTAGCTCAATGACCCCAGTTTGCACCATGAAGGCCGCACTCAGCAGCGGTAGCAACACCAAGCAGGGCTTGAAAATGTGCACTTGCGCCAAACAAGATGAGCCTGCTGAAGGGAAGCTCCATGCAAAGCCTTACAGCACAGCTGCCACGAGTGGGAAACACATAAGGGTTTTGTGACTTTATATTCTCAGCCTCGCAGGTCACCTGCGACCTGCCTCGTCATGGGCCCCTGCCAGCCCATCCTTCGGCAATCCGGATGCCCTCAATTCAGCAGACTTGAGCTCCTGTACTGGAGCAAAGCCAGCAAAAGGGAAGTGTAAACCTAGCATCGCTTCAACTGCTCTGACAAGAGCACCGAGGTAGCTGATACAGCCCTGTTTGGCCACTAAATGCCCAGCTGCATCTTTAATGTAACGTTTTGTCCGATTAGTGATTCATGCCCAGAAGCGTTGTCTGCTCCTCATAACCCAGCTTTGGAGCCGGGAAGGTTTTTGAAGGGATGGTCAAAAGGTAACTATATCCTCTTTGTAAACAGCTTTAAAGACCTCCTACCTAATGATCAGAAATAGACTGTGCAAATCTAGTCCGACTGGCACTTCTGAATCCTGTTATTACTAAGAAATCCTTTTGTGCATTAAAAATATTACACGGTCCCAAGCAGCACGAAATTTGCCTTTGTGTAAAAGCCTGCTTTTTAAGTTAAGCCTTTTGAAGTTTATGCCAAAAGGATTTAACAAGGCCTAACATTTGAGCTTTGTTGGCCCTAATTTTAATACACTTGGACTTGGAACACAGGCTCTCAGACGCCTTGGAAAATCCCAGCTTTCCTCAAACCGTTTGAATGACTAACATGCCATTAGCCCTCCTTAAACTCCCTCACCAAGCACAAGACAGCCAAGCCACATTGCAGACAGCATCACTGCAGACCTGCTGTAACTTTGTCATTCCAAGTCCAATTGTCAGCCTCTGGCAAAGAGGTCTTTCTGCTCCCTCAGTCATTATCTGCTGGTTTAGGACCCCTTCTATATTTTCCTTGCCCTCTGAGAGAAAGCAACCAGACCTGACTGCTGTTGTTGCTAAGGGCATCTATGACTTTACAGCAATCTCTTCACTCTTCTCCACCTCAGCACTTTGTTTGCTAGTGTAATTGCTGTGCGCAGAGGCTTCAGATCTGTTTCCGTGAATGAACTTCCACTGATTCACCTATGATTAGCAACCTAAATCAGCAATTCATATCCACCGCTAAGCATCCCCAGGGAAAAACGCTGCTTAAGTGGCATTATGGTGAACTGGCCAGAGCAGCTTTTGGGAAGTATCTTACAAGCTATATATAGCTCAAAAACCTATTAAGAAGCCTAGAAATGTTTCTACTGAAACCCAAGCCATGCGTAAAAGTGGGAGTTAAGTCCTTTACATTTTTCTGCCTATGATCATGCGTTAGTACCTCAGCCATACGTTAGCGGGCCCGCAGCGAGATGCAAGTTGGCTGGATGACCGTCAAGCCAGCGCTGCCCAGGGAAGCGGCACCTGAAGCCACGTGGCAGCATCCTACAGTCCAAGGTCACGGGCCAGGCTGCCAGGTCCCAGCTGTGCAAGCAGCATGCCAGCTTCCCTTCTCAAGCAGGGAAGCTGAAAAGAACTCAAAAAAGTTTCACAACAAGAAATCTAAGACATTCAAGTCAATTTTAGGGAAGCTGAGTGGTAGTCTGACTATGGTTATGAATAGGCGCAGATGGGAAGGTCACTGGCAGCTTTTCAGTCTAGTGGACAAGGCATAGCAAGAGCTTATGTTGGAATCTGAAAGAAACCAGAAACAAGGCAGGTACCAATAAATAAATAAATAAAATCAAAGGTAATTATGTCTTACCTAGAAAAGTGGCCTGAACAATCTACCAACCAACTTACCTAGGGCAGTGTGCCAGATTTTTCCATCTTTTGAGGCCTTTAAATAGAGACCAGATTTCTTTCCAAAAGACTTGCATTAGCTCAACCAGATGTTACATCTGGGATGTGTGAGTTTGATACATGAAATCTACAGATTTTGCATCAGTTAGAACACTAAAAATCCTCTCTAGCCTTAAAATGCATTGCATTGCTATACAAAGTTTGACTCTCCAACAGAAATTAGAGCATTTTCAAGAAAGGCTAGAAGTGCATCAGGCCAGATGTAATTTTTTTTCACCTTAATAATTAAAAGAAAAACACGTGAAAGATTGTCTAAGTTTGTAAAGCTCAAACCTGTTGTGCCAGGAATGGGTAACCTCCCATAGATCTTTTGTGATGCTGCTTAAAACATGATCTTTTGCACTCAGTGTCTCAGAAACGTCATCTTGTCACTGAAGATGCTTTTTGTGAACTCTGGACAGATGTGCAGCTTGTGTTGCAAGCCACACTTCCCTTAGCTAAAAGAGAAACCACACCAAACATGCACATTATCTGCCTCAACAGATGAAGACAGGAGACAGATTTTGAAAAAAAAATTATTTTATTGGAACTCATCTGAACATCAGATATACCTGGTGTTGGTTAGCAAGAACCGTTTGTACATTTGATATTGATGGTGCCAAAAACCCAAACAGTGACTGACTGGATGAGATGGAAAGTTTAAAAAAAAAAAAAAAGTTGGAAGGTTAAAATGTGAACAGAAAGCAGAAAAATCAGCCAGTCTAAGATTCAGTGTGAAGGCAAAATATTTCTTGATAAAACAGAATCCTTTTACAAAATATAAATTTAGTAAGAAAACGTGGAGAGGGAGAGAGAAAGGGAGACAGAGGGGAAAGGAAAAATAAAAGATTTGCAGGACAGAGATGCAGAAGCTTACACTGCCCAAATGGCATTAAAACCTAGCTAGTAATCTCACCATGAAATGAAACATGCTGGAATACACCGTGCTCCACCCCCCACATATATTACTTTGGAACAGTAATGAGGAAGCTCCCCAGCAAGTGCTACACTAGGTCATTCCAAAAGGGCCAAGCTGTCTCACATCAGATGTTTAAAAGAAACACTACACAGCAGAGGTAAATAATGACAGTCTGATCAGTGCCCAGGGCAGCGGCTCACCTCCCTGCTGGACAAGGTTTGGCTCTTGCAGGGAGGCGAATACTCAGGGAATGCCTGCTCACCTGTTCTTCCTACCAATGCAGGTGGGGGGAGGATTAAAACATTTAAAATCTAGTCTATTTTAAAACAATAGCATGCAATACAGGCCTCCAGGGGAAACCTGTGCTGTTCCCTTTGCTAGAAACTGGCCTAATGGTCTAATCAGTGGCTGCAGCTGTCTCTAATAAGTTCTGGCTGCACAGGGTCAGTCTGGGCTAGCACAGCACAATGAGAATTCTGAAGGAGGCTTTCCTTCTGGAAAATCATTGTGGAGCTGCTTTTGAGGGGATTAGAGGCTTTAGTTGAGATTTAAAAATAAACCAGCAGTCTATACATTTAGGGTTTTTTGGTTCAGTACAAATGGAATAAACTTGGCTGCTTATACACCGTCAGTAAGTCTCAGGTTTCAGAGTAGAGGGAGAGATGAAACAAACTTTTGGGCACCTAATGGTAACAAAACTTTGTCCCTGCTTAACTCTCTAACATCCCTCAGGAAGTGGAAAGCACATGTTTAGGTAGTGTAAGCCTTTTTTCTTTTATTTAGAATACCCTCTTTGTTTAAACAATATTTCCCCCCCCCCAGATACAAAGTTCGGCCAGTAAAGATTACATGGAAACTGGAACACGCATCGTATGGAATACAAGATGCACCGGATGAGGAAGTTTAAAAACTTTCCGAGCGAAAAGTAGAACAAAGAAAAAAGTCTCCTAACATTTTCCCAAGGGTTTCACTCTCCTGTCACACACACTCTCCAAATGACAGCTACCAAATTCATCTCTGCAAGAGAAAATAGAGCCACATCAATCAAGAGGAAAGAAAACAAGCCTCAAGGACACAAAATGCACCTTGGCCCAGGAGAAATGACAGGTCCAGAGCAGCTGTGACCTCCGGCTCCTGCATCCACTCACCTATGTTAGCTTCTTGGCTTTGTTGTAAAGCGAATCCACTACTTTACTCATATTCTGAATAGTTTCAAGGGCAGCTTCGTAAGTTTTGTCTACTGGGGGTTCGTCGAAGATGATCAGGACTCCCTCGCCTTGGTCAAGGATGCCTACGAACATAAAGCTTCAGTTACCAGTGTAACGCTCAGCAGATCACATCATTTCCTAGGTGTCTCCCGGACATCAGGCATTCAGGGATCTACACAACAAGTGTTCGCTCTGATGAGTCAGGTTTGGAAGGGGCTAACATGTTTTATTAGACTAGTTGACCAATTTTGTCAGACTGCATTAGTGGAAGCCTACACAGAAAAAAGGCCCTGGAGAGGGGTCTGAAAACACATCGAGGAGATGTTTATGACTGCACATGCCCTAACAACTACCTGCTTCCTCAAGGCCCATGTGCTGCGCAGCGTGGCTCAGCATGCCAGATGCTGGCAGAAGGCAAAAAAGCTATTTTTAATTAAACTATTTCCAGGTGCCAGGTGGGCACTGCAGCTGGGTTCTGCAATTTTTGAGCTATTCTCTAACCAACACATCTCTTAGCCAGCTCCCATTCATCTTGCTCAGCCATATCAAGAGGGCTTTCTAAACTGACATTAGGGACTATGTAAACAAGAACGGAGCTGTTTCCTTGAGGGCTCATTAGTGGAGCAGCCTCTTGTGGTCCTGGACAAAATCAAATCCAGCTGT